AAATCTGCGCACATGTTCAGAGCATTTATGTACCAAGTTTCATAAAAATCCAATGAGTGGTTCTTTAGATATCAGTGGAACAGTCATAGAACAGCTAAAAATTAGCTAATTATCATGCAAATTAGGTAATTAACGAGCATGGATTTTTACCAAAACCTAATCAAATCTGCGCATTGGCCCAGAGCATCTATGCACCAAGTTTCATCAAAAACCGATGTATGGTTCTTGAGATAGCAGTGGAACAGTCGGACACACATACACACACACACACACACCCACACACCCACACACACACACACACACACATACACATACACATACACATACAGACACACTAACTGCAAAGACTCCCATTTTGTGCTTCGCACATGGGAGTCAAAAATTAAATTTGTCAAATATGGTACATGATGATCATCAAGGATGTGCAGGTTTACTTTGTAAACTTTCAGGTAAGTTCATGAAATGTACAATTTATTTATCCACAAACATTTGAAGCAGAACAAGATAAAATATTTTGAAACCTTTGTATCTATATGTTCATTGCAAGACATCTCTAAGACATGGACAAGGATATTTATTAATCCTGTGAAAACAGTAGTGACTAGTTAGAAAAAAACACACACAACCATCTTTTTGGTAACACTGCACTCGTAACATAGCAACCCGAGAAATTAAACCTCATCTATTATTGAAACGTCATTTGAATGAGAAGTCACGTAATAAAGTCAGAAAATTGAGAGAAGAGAAGTTCCAGAACAACTTACCTTTGATAGGAGTGTTTTGATGGCCAATGCTATCAATTTTCGGCATTCAACTGAATTATCATTAGCAAGAGATGACGCCATAGGAACAAAAAATAGTCCTGAATTCTCATCCAATAAGTTCTAAAAACAAATTTTTATAAACATATTTAATGCTTCACCAATTTTTAAAAGATTTACCAAATTTTTAATTTTGATTTTCTAAGAGTAATCCACATTTTTAATGTATAAATTCATTCAAGTAAAAGATCTGCTATTAAACATGGCAAAAAGACATTGATTTAAGGCTTTTTTTTCAAACACTCTTACATTACACTGACACTACTCACCTGAGGGAATATACTGAACATTGCAGCTAGCATTTCGAGAGTTGATTTCCTTCCTCCCTCGTATTCGTATGTTAACTGAGAAACATAAAATTCTAGATACTTTCGTATCTTCTTTCCGAGAGGATAGTCCAGTAAAAACTGTGACATTAACTGCAAATTGTGGAAGTAATGAGTACTGGATATTAGCTATAGTATATATACGGTATATATAGTATGGGCAACTTGATCAATTGAGGGTTGGTAAAAAATAATAAACAGAACTTTCTCTGATATTATAAGATTTGTTCAATAAATATTTTGTCTTTGATACAGACTGGCTGATTAAGAATCAATGGGGAGGTAAAAGACATTGGCTAATATGCAAGAATGCAAATTTTGAGGAATGCTATAATGATAGTAAGATTGAGACACAAGCCTGTCATGTAGTCCCAAACATGGAATGTTTTTTGTGTCAAAATGCACTACAGTGTATATGTCAGTATAATATTACACATAAAAAAAAGTCAAAAAGAGATGACAATCAACGTAGGGAACTGCCACATGGCACAAACATTGATGTAGCAATGTGACATCAATGCAGCAACAATGCAAGTATGTGTGGTCTAACACACAGCTGATGAACACTGTTTAATACTACATGTACCATCGATCAAACTGAACAACCCACCAACGATACATTATATTTCTCAGTCATTTGTTTTCTTGGATTTGTGAACATGCATTCCACTTTGGATTTGAGTACATGTATGTTGCTATACCAGAGAATACTTTTGTATTATTGATGAGTGCATTCAAGAATACTCTCAGTGCTCTAGTGGAGTGAGGTATCATCACCTTTAGAATTTAGCATAATAATTTGCATCTCACACACCTGTCTGCATTGCACTTGTATATTATTGGCTTCTGATATGATTGACAACTCTGCCACTTTCTCCATTACAGTCTCTATCTCTTTACATTGTAGTTTCCGTGACAACATTGCCTAGCAACCCAAAAAATACATTTATATTGATGAGCACTGAATCACAACAACAATGTATATTTAATAACACATAACTGGTTAAAATTCAATGTGTCTTGTCATACATAAGACCATGAATTTTTGTCTATCCTCGGGGGCGGACATCCGGGCATTTTCACCGCCTGGCAACCCTCGCGGTGAAAACAAAGTCCCAAAACTCGCATAAAACGGTACTTCGGGATGATTGTTGAGACTCCTCCGAACAGTGCAACAAAATTAGCTCTACGTGTGTAACATATATAAATTTGGTTGTTCGGGATTACTTTAAAGTTGAGTTTGTGTTGTTTTCTCGAATTTTCACCGGCTCGACCAGCATTCCACAGCAGCGCGCACAGAGCCCATAGAAATGCATGGTACAGTGGTGCGCGTCTTAGCAACGTGGAACGTCTGTGACGTAGCTCCGCCCCCGAGGATAGAAATATTTGCAAAAAACATATTTCTAGGAACTTGTGAGATCTTGTGTGATAAGCAAATGAGCATGTCAGAGGTCATGATGTACATTCTAAAGTTAGTACATGTATCAGAGAGTGATGATAAAGAGCTGTACTAATAAAGTGGTAATTCAAAAGGAGATTTAATAAACTTTTCACTGTAAAAAACAGTTGTAGCGCGTGCTTTCTCTGCTTTCTTACTTTAAGTAATGGAAACGCTGTTGACTGCCTGGTGGTGTCATAGATATCCTCCTCCACAAAACTTAGTAATACTTGCAGTTGATCTTCAGTCAATTTATATCGTTGCATATTCTTCAGAAACATTGTCATCGTCTGAAATGATTATAAAGCTTTTAGAATAATATACAGATAACGACCCAAATATTAGCCTGAGCACAGGTGATTACATCATTTGAAGGAAAAACGTTCTTCTTGTGCAAGATCTCAAGCGTATTCGGACTGTAATATTTTTATTATAGGAATCTCAATTGATTATTATATTCTTTTCAAAACAATGGCACATAACATCAGTTATTGTAACCTAGCTGAACAAAAATTTCAAAAAAATCAATATATGCATACTTGGCTGACAAGTACATGTATTGTGGTAATCAGTGATTTTTTGAAGATTAATATATCTACCAGTTGGCCACCAGAATAAATGATTATTATTTGTAACACGAAAAATAATTGTCAGTTTTGAAATAGAGCCACATGAGATAATACTCAGTTCACAGAATTTGGAGTCAGTCGCATCTATCATGGTTTAATGGACAAGTTCAAATATGCTCACCTTAAAGCACCACTGTACTAGGTGCAAGTTGTCACCCTTTGGTGTTCCACTTCTTCCATAAGTCTTCAATAGTTGAAATAACAAGCCAGCAAGTTTACCGGCTTGATCATTCAACTGTGGCAACGAGTACTGTATGAGACGACTTAACGACTGTACAGATCCTATTATCACCTGGAAATGCAATACCAGTTATGTGTCATTGACATACATGACAGGAAAATACTTTGAAATATTACTTATTTGCATGTTAACTGAGCAAATTCAGAATTGGTGATTTTCCGTACAATTGCGAGATCTCGCGAGATGCATGAAAGATGCGCGTCGAACGTCTGCCGCAAAAATCGAACGATTTGATTTTGAACTAGAATTTCTTTATTTCGTAGCTTACATTGACCGGCCGATCTTCGACAGAGAAATATTGCTTCCGAATACCCTTACTTAATCGAAATTGCCTATCATCAAATGTGGACAGCACATTATTAAGCATGGAAATGTCCCCCGAAATACTTTCGCGTTTGTTGAATCCCACGCGATGTTTGACGCCACTACGACGCTATGACCTTTGTTTGTCCTGTTTTTACGTTCGATTTCACGCATTACGCGTGATTCTCGCAGTGAACGGAAAATGGTCTATTTCGACTCTAGTTTGTAAACGACCGACAGCTTTTCTGATTACAGGTCACAAACACTATTTTATGTTTGGGGTCCCGATCTACATGTGACTACAATGATGTATATTTTGTCATACCTAAACCTCAAGTTATCGCTTTCTCATGAAGAAAATTTACAAAGAAATCAAGTAATGAATATTTTTTCCTTCTTTCTAGAGTTCACTGAGCCTAGTACACTATTGCCAGTGTTGATTTAATTACAGGTCTTCAGTCATTTCACTTATCATAAACATACTGTAAAATACTTTATTTTCGCTTGGAATTTATTTTCGCTGAAGGGATGATTCCGTGAAAATAAAATCCAGTGAATATACCGGTACTTTTTTTCCTATATTTCACATTAAACTCATCAAAAATCAGTAAAAAGAAATTCCATACAAAACAACCAAAAACCTTTTCAGGGAATATTAATTCCAGCGAAAATAAAGTATTTCACAGTACCACAGTTTAATGTAGTATAATGGTTTTTTTTTCACTCACCTTGGCATATTTAGATTGCATACAGTCTA